CAAGTGATCACTTCAAATAATTATTTCAAATAATTATTTCAAGTGATCATTCCTAAAAATTCTCTAATTGGTTATTATAATTAATCATAATTAAATTACAATTCTCTAATTAAATACTACAAGTCACAATTAATTGAGATATCATCTTTAATTATTTCAAATAATCACTTTTTATTTATCAATTACTTATAAATATTATATATATCTTAACTAATAAAAAAAATAGATTTAATAATTCTTAGAATCTCAAAAATAATCAATAATAATTAATAACAATTAAAAATATGTAATAAATTAATAATAAATTTTTTATTAATAAAATTATATATATTTAGATCTTATAATAAAACTATATATTTATTATATAACAAATACTTTTAATATAAATTTCAAGTTTCATTCTAGTAAACTACATTATAAATATATTGTTATTATTATTTTAAATTCATTATAATTATAATATAATACTTAAAGTATTATATTTAACTATATCATCTATACCTTCTATTTGTTATTATTAATACATATTATCATAATTATTTTGAGTAAATAATCGATTATAATATTATAAACTCTTTTTCAGCTTTTTCAAGAACTCATAAAAAATAATAACACTATAAAGAGATTTTTTATTATATTTATATATAAATAGAAAAGCAAAACAAAATAATTATAAAGAAATATAACTATAAATAGATATAATTATAGAGAGATTTAACTATATAGTTAAATTTCTTTATAATTATTACTCTTAGAAAAGTAAACTTTGATGACTATAAAGAGAATATAATTATAGAGAAATTTTTTTTACTATATTTATATGTAAATAAAAAAGCAAACTAAGATAATTATAGAAAGATGTAACTATAAATGAATATAACTATAAAAAGATTTAACTATAATAAATAATTTTTATAAGAATACTTTCTTATATGAAAAGTATTAAGATAAATTTATTAATTATTATAAATAAATTATATTAATTGAGATAGTTTTCAGTTTTAATTTTAATAAATCTTATTCTTTATTTATTAAATAGTGAAAAAATCTAAAGAGCTATAGTACAAAACAAAGATATTTAAATATATAATTAATATTTAATAAATTACAAATAAATTAATAATAAAATAAAGGAAAATTAGTTCTAAATTATTAATCTTAAAGATAATGTATCTCCAATTTATGTTATACTTAATTAGATAGATAATAAAAAAATTAATTAATATAAAATTAAAAATAGAATATAAAATAAAAGAATAAATAAAAATAAAAAAATTTAAATTAATAATGTGATCTATATTTTATATCTAATCTATTTAACAAATATTAAGAGTATTAAATGTAGAACTGTAATAATTCTAACATATTATGTGAAAAATGATAATTATAACATGAAAAATAATGAACATGATATAAGAAATTATAAGAGCATATGAAAATTGTTACACATTCTTTTCACAAAAGAAATATAATTACTTTGAAATTTTACTTTATTGTTGACTTTACTACAAAGTTTTCATTGAAAATATTTTATAGATAAATTATATTATTTTAGATTATACAATTATTAGAATTCTTTAAGTATTTAAAATTTGTATAAGTTCAAATAGAACTAGTTTTGAACTCAATTTTTTAGAATAACTTAATAATTATATTTATGAGATTTATCTTACAAATAATTTCAAACATAGTCAACTCTCTCTATTATCAATCTCTTTAATATCAATATCTCTTTATTATCAACATTTATTGCAGAACAAATTTCACTTGAACAAATATATTGATATTAATTTTAATCTTTAAGTTAACAATTCTCTTATATACAGTATCTCTATTGTCAAGACCAGATATTTTGTTGATATATAAGTAGTGCTCCAACTGGGTCGGATCCAATTCGTAATCTGATCCGAAACGCACATTTCAGATCGGGTCAGATTGGGATCAAATTTGACCTAAAATATTTCAGGTCAGCCTAAAAAACATTATTTCTCGTTTCAATATTAATTATAATTTGTGGGTATATACACAATTACATTCCGAACAACTCTGCTTAGACACCAAATACAAGTATCTTAGTAAAAATAAAAGTTATTAACTAAAACTATTTTACGATTTTCGGATCAAACCTGATCCGAAATTATCAGTTCGGATTGATCTCAAATCCGATCCGATACGATCCGATCTGAATAGAGCTTTATATATAAGAAGGTTGATAACTTAGAGATTATAGTAGGATTTTTAATTAGTTCTAAATCAGTTCCAACAATTTCAAAAATTACTAATTCTAGAAATATCAAATTGTTTAATAATAATAAGTAACTCTTTTTCAAATATTGCTATAAATATAATTTTCTTGGTCCTGAGATGGTTCCAAACCCAGCATAAATTCTAGATTCTGATTTCTCAAGAAATTTTATTACTTAATTTTTAATAAGTAGCTTATATTAAACTATTATCATTAATAACTTGTAAGGAAAAATGATTACTATACTAATAATTTTCATGGGACTGTTTATATCATTTGGAACCAGTTAATAACTCTTGGTTAAAGTCAGTATCAATATATTAATTCAAGTGAAATTTGTTCTGCAATAAGTGTTGATAATAAGTGGTATTGACATTAAAGAGGTTGATAATAGAGAGTTGACTATATTAACAAAATGCCTGGTCCTGTCATGTTGACAATAGAGAAGGTTGACTGTGATAAATAAAAGATTGAATAGTAAAGAAAGTAAATTTTCTAACTTCGAAAATCGAAAAAATCTTATTTAATACTGTATTCAGAAAATAAATTAAATTAATAACAAAAAGTCAGTTAATTGAATATAAATTTGCATGAACACTATTTTGAGTTTATATTTTTGATTTGCTCAAATGCAAAAACTTTTGATCACAACCATATAGAATTAAATCTAATCGGAGAGTGGACTGATAGATTGGTACAAAATGAACTTTAATTATATAGAGAAATAATGCACCAAACTTGGAATCTTTAATGGTTTTATTCATGCCATTGAAGATAAATTCTCGATTCAATAATTAATTATACAAGCTGTAAGTTAAATGACAAAGCAATGAATCTTCAGCGGCTGGTTATTTGTGTTATTAGATTGAATGACTCGGCTGTATTAATTGACTCATAAACATTTTTCATATGATGTCACAATGGTCAGCATTACATACGTTTGTTTATGTGCATGTACAATATTAGCTACATGTATAAGTGTTCTTCTTTCACTATTTGACTGTATGACAAAACTTTTGCCACCTAGCGCTAGTAGAAATTTGTGTAATAGTACGATGAAGACAAAATTTTAAGTTTGAGTATTCAGGGAACCTTTGATGTATGTATGCGGTACTACTATTTTTGTACATGTATCTTATTACATGTACGTATCGGTATGTACATTTACTTATCGTTATGCAGCAATGTACGTAGTTCAGTAAATTAAAAAAATCACTTTTCTAACCAATAAAATGAATTCAATATTGGTGAGGTTGTCAATGATACTATGTCAAGAATTAAAGTTATAGAATTTAGGTACTATTTTCGAAGACAAAAGTTATTTATGAGCTTGGTTTCAGTATTGCCTCACAAATCATTGAAATTGTATAGAATGGCAAATTGTACCTAGAAAGAATGCGAAAAGTATAAGAAATAATAAAGTTTTGGTAAGACGAGCTTTTTAATATACAATAAAAAGCTTCCATTTTGCAATGCTAAAGTTCAAGCATAACAGGCATTTATTATAATCATTTAATAATATCGATGTATGCATGAATGAAACAATAAATTAGATCAAACCGAAGTATTGAGATGGACATTTTATAGCACTGATAAATAAAAATTGTTAAAATTTCGAAGTACTTCATACGTACTAGGAAATTTCGATTAATAATTTGTATACAAAACCCACTTTTTAAACTACCGTTACAATGACTAATTGTATTTCTGTATTCGTAAAAATTATCGACTCAACAATAAGGCTGAAATTTCTTAATTGAAAATGCCATGTTGTACGGCTGGTCGATTGTGATTCTTTCTCTCCAATAGGCTGTGCTAAGTCTTCATTTTGGATCCAAGAATCAAGCAGTCATTGAAGAATTCTAGCAATTTGATTTAGTAAAAGAAATCTGATGCTAACACTAACTTTTAAGGGTAATCCATCTCTGTGCGTAATTACTAATTAACAACCGATTTTTTTATTTTATTATATTTTTACAAAAATACAAATTATTTCCAACATTGTCCCTGTAAAGAACTCAAACTTTTTATCAAGTCAATCACCGACATGTTAGCCCAGAATTTCCAAGAACAAAATTCCGACTAAAAGGCCGGCAATTTTCTGAAGAAATTTTACAGAAAGTTGAAAAGATTAAATAAATATCTGATTTGTTCTTGCCATACTAAGAATGCGTAGAGTATTTTTGTTGTAAGAAAATAAACTTGCTTTTTCTTGGTTACAGTGCATCCATTCATATTAGCCTATTATTTGATCGATATACATGTACATGTATTATGGTCGACGGAAATAATAAAAATTTAGTTTGTTGAGAAGTACATCTTTTATTTCGTGCACGTAATCAACTCGGGCAGGACCGTTGTTGACATTTATCAAGGAATTTCTATTTGAAATCCCTGAAGGATTTTCATTCTAATGACACCGATATCATGTAAATTAATATGTTTACCTGAGAAAAACTTATCGTTATCGTTATGCATATTTGTACTTTTAAAAAAGCTTGGCATTATTGATAGTAAAAATAAAATATAAAATTTTCTGTAATTAATCTTCTATTGATTGAGGAAAAAAAACCTATAGTAAAATGCAAAAAAAAGACATGGGATTTTTATCATTTTATGAAAAGACAAATTGAAAAAAAATGTAATAATAAAACTAATTATATGAGCTATGAAGTGATTAACTAATTTTCGTATTTTTTTTTAGCGGTATTTCTTTGAAAGATAAAATATAAGGTTATTGTCTATTTTCAAATAATTAAGTCAGTGTCATCAGATGAAAAGGAACTCCACTTACTCTCTTTTTTAAACATTTCGATGCATGAATTCCTGCTTTGATTCCTGGCTTCATTTTCTTCTCCGAAGGATTACTATCCAACAACAAGATTGGATTTCGAAGAAATATATCATAGACGACACAAGTACCGTAAATTGCTGTGGTTGAGTCATCATCGCTATCATTGATATTATTGTTGTTCTGTTTGTCTGGTGACCTCATTGGATGTAAATTCTTTCGACTTCTTTTATTGCGATCATGTCGTATACATTCTATTGTTTCTGTGTGAATTTCTTTACATGGTTCGATATTTGCTACCTCACCGTATGTTTCAATCTTATTTTCGATATCGTTTATATACGTATAATTCATGGTATACAGTTCGTCGTCAAAGTCATCGTCATCCCCTATGACAGTAGCGTTACTTGACGGCATAGTGGAATCTGAGAAATAATCTTCAGAGGATGGAATAGTCGAGTCTGACGAATAATCTTCAGAAGAGTCTGTCGGAGTGAAAAGCTGTATATTGGTCGAGATTTTGTATTCCTCTTTATTTTTAATGTAATATTTAATATAGTCGAATAAATATATTAGGAAACTTTGGTGCCATTAAATAAATATAAGGCATATTTTATTTTTTATTTAGACCATGTTTTTAAGTCTAGCGTACCGAGAACTAACCTTTCATTGAAGAAGAGTCTCCTATTTGGTTGTGCATATTAAAAGTATTTATGTCTTGATGTAGGATAAAGTGTAGCAACTGAGAATAAATTTTTTTTACTTTTCTTGTGAAAAGAGAAAGTTGACGAGTGAATATTGACAGAAATGTAGGCAGACTCTCAGTTTAATAATTATTCACAACCAATCACAATCCATACTGGATTATTGATTGGCGTAGCACAAAACATTGAGAAGCAGGCGAACTGTAAAGATCAATGACAAAAGTAACCAAGTTCTGTAGATATATTTGTAACTGAATGTGATTTTATTACCGTCATCGCCGATTTGGGTTAAGATAAGTCTGTCTTTTTTTTTTCGCATTGAATCGTGTGATTTTTTTTTGTTTACTATAATATTCTAATAAGCTGTCGGTTGTAAATTATTGTGCACTACGTATTTTTTAGTACATGTACGTACGTACGTAATTGTATTTTTGAAGTCTGTCTATTTCAAAAACTTAGATTTATGAAATAAATAATTTCGAAAGGTCGCATATCGACGTTTCTTTGTAGAATTACTCCTACCGAGAATTTTCAGTTAGAAAATTGTCAGTTTCATTCTGCTGCTTCACAAAGATTAATCACAAGCGTTTGTATTCTGCGTGAACAATTATTTTTCGTGTAAGCATTTAGTGGCTGGACGACGAGAAAAAGAATGACGTATCTTAAAAACCGCCTTGTTTCGAATAAAAACAGGAAATATTTTAATGATAGATTTCCGTACGTAACGGTAATAACGACGGTTGCATAAAACATTACCTTTGTGAATTATCTATCATAATATCGTTTCAGCCATCGAAAATAATCATGGTTAAATTAAAAATTGTTTTTCAATACCAGACTTCTGTTAAAATCGCCTCATTAGTGAAATTATCCAGCAAGTAAGCCCGACAGCTATTCCTCCTACGGGTATAAATCCATCAAATACATGTATTAGATATGCATACATGAACATATTACGTATATGTACGTATGTAGCAAATATGCGCATTTGATCAGATTGTACATGTTCTGTATGTACATGTATTTCAGATAGTGTACAACCTACTGAAACACACAAATTGTTCTATGTAATATCGATATACGTACGTAACCAAAACGCCCGTCCTTTTAAATTCTAATGTGCATTCAAATTGTTATCGTTATCGGTCATTATCATTACTAGACATCGACCGATATCGATCACAAGAATGCATCGTAAAGAATAATGCTGGCAAGAGATTCGATGATTTATTTTATATCAATTACTGAGGCTGATGCTCTTAGCAAAAACATTAATGTGGCGCCCGAAACCTCTCCGAAATGATACTTTAGAATGCTGCGGAATTAATGGCACCGCACGGAAAATATTGAAAACGATGATATTCCTAATTTATTATTTGGGTGTCTTCATAAAACTTATTTGAAATATTGCTGTTTTCCCCCAATGTTTGCCATAATCGCTCCGATATATTTCAAATTCTGCAGCATAAGGAATACTGATAGTTGCGTTGGTCATTTGTTGTATGCTTTATTCCATTTTCGGCTGACGTTAAGACTGTTTTCACATTCTGTATTTAGTGACTTTTTCATCTTATTTTTTCGGTAATTTGATTTTTAATGTTAAATATTCGAAAATAGATTGACTACTAAGACGAACACAAAATAATTGAAGAACATCCTCGGATGTATCCAAGATCCAGATGAATTATTAAAAAATAATCCTGTTAGGTATCTTGAAAACTTTCCTTGTTGTTGTCAATTTATTACGATAAGCACTGAGCGACAATGTAATTCCAAAAAAGTTAATGAGGTACGTACTTGAAAACCGTTCCTACGGAATTTCATTTTCATAAGATAACGGATTTAACGGCAGTGAGTTAACTTTTTTTAGTTTATTTTGTGATGTTATCGTTATCAGGTGTTAGAAGATAGCGATAAGAAAATCACGACCAAATTTATATCGATATTGATCTTTGATAATCAGGAAACCAAACCTGATTTCGATATCGATATCTACAGTATATTTTTCAAATGTTAAAACCTTTCGCATTATCATTTTTTACGACAGCATAAATTTAAATGGAAAACTTTGTCATAGCTGTTTTAACATTTTAACATTACATGCCAAAACGCTAA